CCATCCCTATATCTCTCATAATGACTGCTTCTTTTAATCAATGTTCCCTCCCCTCGTCCTGGAAATTGGCTTCAGTTACTCCTGTATTCAAGAAAGGTAATAAACTTGATTGCAATAATTATCGTCCAATCAGCCTGGTTCCTATTGTCAGTAAGGTCATGGAATCGATTATTTCGGAAGCTATGTCCGAGTTCCTTCTTCAAGAAAATGGCATCCCTGACCAACAGCATGGATTTATCAAAGGTCGTTCAACGATCACAAACTTACTTCATTGTGTAAATGATTGGTCATTATCTTTAAACAATCGGAATCCTGTCGATGTAGTTTACTTAGACTTCTCCAAAGCTTTCGATCGTGTTCCAAAACGTCGATTACTAGCTAAATTGGATCACTATGGTATCCGCGGAAAATTAAACATTTGGATACAAGATTTTCTATCCGACAGATACTTCAGGGTTCGTGTTGGGGAAGACCACTCATTAGATAAGCCAGTCAAGAGTGAAGTTCCACAAGGATCAGTACTTGGACCGCTACTTTTTTGTGTCTACACTAGTGATCTTCCGCTCATTGTATCAAGTAAGGTTTCCATTTACGCTGATGACACTAAGTTATATGTGAATCCAACTATTAACCAACATATTCTTCAACAAGATCTTGACGCAATATTCAAATGGTCCTCAGAATGGTTACTTCCGCTTAACATTGAAAAATGCGTTGTTTTACATATCGGCAAAAATAACCCATCACTTCCGTACTTTATTAATGGACATCCTTTAAACTCTGTAACCTCACACAACGATCTCGGAGTGATAATTAATAGTGACTTAAATTGGTCTGATCACATAGTGTCGGTGTGTAAACGTGCTAACTCGAAACTGTTTTTGATTCGTAAATGTTTTGCACGCATATCTCTAACCTCTGTTAGTAAACTTTACTCAATATACGTTAAACCTATTCTTGAGTTTGCCGGACCAGTGTGGAATCCAGATCTTAGTCGCGATAAAATCCTACTTGAAAACGTTCAGCGTAAAGCCACAAGACTGGCATACGGCCGTGTAAGACCTAACTATGAAGATAGACTATTCATGGCTCATCTTACGACATTCGAGCAGCGACGTCTTCGAGGTGACCTAATTATGTCCTTCCGTATTTTAAAGCATAATTTTGGGAAACTAAACAACATATTCACTTTGAATGAAGACGATAGATTAAGGGCCATCGATACAAATTAAAGAGGAAACAAACTACTGCAAGGTCCAGGGCCAGGGCGAACTTCTTGCCAAACAGAATCTTTAATATCTGGAACAATTTGGATCAAGACACCATATCGGCAGCTAGTGTTAACATCTTTAAAAATAAACTTGATAGCACTTTATTTTTTTTTATAGGATAGGATATTTTTTCTCGGACAGCATTATTTATTTATTTATTGTGTCACAATTAAATTTTCGTTAATTGTTTAACTACTTAACTTTATAATTAGTATTAGTTTTATAAGAATCTATTTTATTTTTGTTTATTTTTGCTTTTTGGGCATAATAGGAGCTCGCTCCTCTGTCCTTATTTGTTATATAATAATAATAATAATAATAATAATAAAATATGATCATTTATTCTAATAAAAAAACGAGAGGTGAAGTTAGGTATGCCATCATAGGCATACTTCCCCTACATAAATTACAGAACAACATAAAAATGATCGCTGAAATGGTAATTAATTTGAAATAAACTATATTTATATTGCAGTGTAATTTAACAAATTACATTTGCCATATCCTACACTCTAATAAGCCTCATTTTTAATCTTTAAAACCTAAAAGGGGCTTAAAGTGATCACCAAATAACACTTTCAAATCAAATCCTCATGTAAATGCAAATCAAACAAATGCCTGGATCTTAAACAAGAAACGAACGCATAGTGCGAGGTGATGTATCGCTAATGTGACCATTTGTAATTGAAACAGGGCCCTTTGTGCTCTTTATATTCTCGTCATTCACGGTATCAGCCTGCTCGTATACGCTGTTTTAAAACGGGAGTGTCTAAACATCCGCGAACAAAAGGTCTCATTGGATACAGCAAGTTTACAAATTGAAGCAACTTGTAACGACATGACTTGAGTCGAAATTGGCACGAAGAACAAGAAAAAATTTAATTGATTTATCAAGCTAATACGAACACAAGAAATTACAAAAATAAAAAAAAAATCAGTTGCATGTAACAATATTTCAATCAACGATATAACATTAGTAGTGACCTGTTTAAATATGGATGAAAGTATAAACAATATATAAAACACTGTAGTTGTATGGTCAAATTCTACTATTTAGAAGAGTGATTCATTGTTTAAAGGCGGTGAAGTGGGGAAAGACGTATGAAAATCTAGTGGCGTACACTCACTTTTTTTTTAACGTTAATTATATTATATTTTTTAAATATTATTGTTCGAAATAGGCCACAATATATTTATTTACAAGTTTTTATTGACGTTTCGATTTTTATATCCAAAGTCCGCTTTCAAAAATATAAATGATAGTTATATTTTTTTTATTTGTTTATTATTATATATTTTTATAATCTTATATTATTTATTTTCTTTTTTTATTCTATCTTTAAAAACGGTCTCTGGAATAGACATCGAATCGTATTAAACACGTAAATAGGTATATTGTGGTTTATTTCCAACCTTATCCCTAAAAATGCAGAATGCCACAAACATAATATATAGTATAGGAAAACAAATATATGTCATTTGTATGTTTAAAAACGGTCTCTTTATAGAAATCCAAACGTCCGTAAATTAAACATTTGAATAAATATATTGTGGCTTATTCCCAACATTATTTCTAAAAATACAGAACGACAAGCAAAAAGCCATAGAAAATAAATATTACTATCATTTGTATAATTGAAAACGGTCTCTGGATGTAGAGATCGAAACGTCAGTAAATAAACATATGAATTCATATTTTGTGTGGGTAATTCCCTACATTCCCCTAAAAATACAGAATGCCACACACACACACACAAACAAAAAGTAATAAAAAGCAATTAATTTTACAAAAAGCTTACTGATGCCACCTAGCATCAGTAAGCTTTCGCAGAAGTTACGCTAAAACGTCTTTTTATGCGACCCGTCCTATAAGAGTTACATAATGAAATTTTTTTTAAAACAAATTTTAAAACAGTTTCCACACCACCCCAGAGGTATGTCTTGTGGCGCGAGTTTTTTTTTAGAGGACTAACATTAGGGTGGATTGCTTTTGAAAATGTTAACCGATTTTTTGTACAATAACTAATAACATCTAAAAACTAATATCAAAAGCAGCGATCCTTGTCATTTTTGCATAGCCAGGATGTTCAGATTACCATCTTAATTTATTCTTTTCTAAACATGTTGATTGTCGCATTATCATGCATTAGTTATTACTTTTTATTTTTAATATAACATCCTGCAGTCTACATAACATAATGTAGCTTATATTATATATTATGTTTCAATTTCCACCTCGGAAATCGTTCTCAAAATACAAACATTAGTAAATTAAACAAATTTTATTGTTTTGTTACTTGGTGAAAAACTCATAAATAATTTAATTTATCTGAGTCATTTATATTGACAATTCAGGCGTACATTATACATTTTAAAGTAGACGACTTTAAAATGATATTGCCAATATTGTTGAGTTGCGTTCCTGGGACGACTTTACTTGTAAGACAGTTCTAGTCTGAACTAGAACTAGAACTAGAACAAGACTAAACATATCAGCTATAATGAAGTTATTAACATTATGTACTGATAATACATATTTTCAACTAAATAATGAATTTTATAAACAAAATTTTGGTCCAGCAATGGGCTCTAGTTTATCTCCATAATTAGCCGATATATTTATGGAAGATTTTGAAACAAAAATTATTTCTAAACAAAATTTAAAACCCACAGTATGGTGGACATATGTAGTTGATGTATGCTCAATATGGACTCATGGGTCAGAGTTGTTGGACACTTTCCTGAATGATATAAACGATAAAAAAGAGACAATAACATTTATCATGAAAACGGAATATAATAACACACTACCTTTCCTGGATTTTTGCTAAGAATGATACTGGATATGAGACTCAGGTGTTAAAAAACCAACACACACTAACAGATATTTAAATTTTAAATCAAATCACAATATTAATATTAAAAAGGGAATCATTAAATCTTGATACGATAGAGCCAAACCTACTTGTTCTAACGAAAATTCGTTCTTGGGAGAAAAACATTTGTTAACATCTGTTTTATTAAAAAATGATTATCCTTTATCGTTTATAAATAAGAAATTTTCAACAATCGATCGAATAGAACAGAACAACTTAGAGCGAGATCCTACAGCATACACAAGGAATAATACGAGCAAAATAACAGTACCATACCATACAAGTATTATCAGAAAAACTTAAAAGGATTTCCACATTAAAACAACATTTAAAACAATAAACACATTGAGATCTATTTTGTCTAAAACCAAACCTAACAATGAACAAGAAAGGACAAAGAATTGAATTTATAAAATACCTTGTGAAAGCGATCAGTCGCTTTATATAGGCCAATAAATGTTAGAATAAGTGAACATCAATCTTATATTAAAAATAGAGAATTTGATATATCTAAAATATATAAACATGCATGGGATAAATAACATAGGGTTCATAGAATGGAATGATTCAAATATAGTCCTAAAAAAAAACGGATGGTAAAAAATTCCTCCCTCGGCAGAATGTAGTAGGATCTGGTTACCCAGATTAAAAGAGGAAGTTACTAAAAGGAAAATACCAGTATTAGTAAGTCAGTAACATATAGATGATATATCATTTATGTTTTTTAAATAACAAACATAATATCAGAATTTGGTGTTTATTGAAAGTAAACTAAATGCACGACCAAATACTGTGCATATGAGGTTTTTTTCTGTTTTTTCTTCATAATTTACTTTGGCATCACTAAAAGAAGAATTTTACTGTCATCATGACATGTGTTAGTCTTTTTAAAGACGAATTATATGCTACGGATATTCTCAAGTTAAAGTTGATTTCATGTAATCGAATGAACTATCTTACAAGTAAAGTCGTCCCAGTAACGCAACTCAACAATATTACCAATATCATTTTAGAGTCGACTTTAAAATGTATAATGTATGTCTGAATTGTCAATATAAATGAGTCAGAAAAAATTAAATTTTTAGAAGAATTTTTCACCAAGTAACAAAAAAAACAAAATTTGTTTAATTTACTAATGTTCGTATTTTGAGAACGATTTCCGAAGTGGAAATTGAAACGTCAATAAACTTACTTTAATCTATAATTGTGGCTTATTCCCATTTAAATAGTAATTACTTTAAAATGCCACAAGACAAAAGCTTTAGAACAATATTAAGAAATCCATCTGCTTTACCATTATACTATCGTGTATTTATATATTTTCCTATTGCTTTTTAATCTCCATTTTAGATACTTAATAAGTATTTTAGTAGTAGCCCCACCTTTATACCATTTTTTTTGGGTGCTCTGTTTAGTAATGTAAATAAAATACCTGGGAATTACACTGTCTAGCTATGGAGAGCTGGACAAAGAAGTGAGAGATCAAGTACAAAAAGCAAATAGACTGGCAGTCATGCCTTAATAACACTATATAGCGAAAGCTATATAAAGCCAGTTTAAGACCAAGAATGACATATGTCTTAGAAACAAGATCCAACACAGTCATAACGCAAAGGCTACTGAAAGCGGCGAAGAGAGTACTGAGAAGAATTACAGAAATTACGCTGAGAGATCGAAAGAGAAGTGAAGACATTAGGAGAAAATGTAACGTACTGTGTATAAATGAATGGACACATAACAGAAAAAAAGAATGGAATAACCACATAAGCAGAATGGTGGAGATTCGTGTCGGAAATGATTGAAAAAGTATCGGATGACTGTGCAAAAGATTTAGTGACAACCTTCCATTGAGGTATTAATCCACCAATGAACAAGCAGAATTGATTATAAAGAGGAGGAAGAAGAAGAAGAATAAATTTCAGTAATAAAATCATTCCTGATATTTTTAATATATGATGCCCTTGGTTGGATATACACTACAATTTTAAAATCGCGATCAGCAAGCGAACCCTTCTATAATCGCCTATTGAATTGTCATTCATCAAAGGCCGGGCAAAGGGGCTTTTGACAAACAATTTTCCAAGCGCCCTTTTATATGCCATAATTGTAATTTTGGTTTGGTTTTTAAGCACAGAGCCACTGACAGAGACAGAGAAGTTTACTTACTTTTTAAAGTTTGATTTGACGTTCAATTCCTTTATTAAATTTAATTTTAATTAGTGTTGAAATTAAACGTAAAACAATATTCTTTGAAGTGCAGAGCAACTTGTTTTATGTTTTTATTGAATAAAAGTAGAATTCAAGACGAAATTAACTTTTCTTTGTCTTCTTTTTTGTTTTGTCATTTTTAGTAGGCAACTTACCTGTTATATTTTAAAATTAAAATTTTTACATTTATTCGCGATACAAAACTATTGGTTTTTCTGTTTCATATTTTCCTTTGTCTTCTAATTATTGTGATGCTGGGAGTTTTATTTACTGTTGTTTAAATTATTTGTTTCATCATATTATTTAGATTTTGGCCGACATGAAATAATAATCTAGCGAGACTTGTGAAGATAAGAACATGATTGTGCTTACTATGTGCTTGTCATGGTTATGCAAGCGAGCTCCAGTAAACATAAAGACAATGGAGCTAATATTCCCTGTTAGAGGGCATTCATTTATCCCTCCCGATAGGATATTTGGGATGAATGAAAGTTAAATAAAAAAACTTGAATTTGTAGCAAATCCTGCAGAATATTATAGGAAAGGCTGCAAATATGGGCTGGTCTTGTAATATGGGTTAGGTAGGATTCACAGCTATTCATTGCAGATCTCTACATTTTGACTATTGCAAACGGTATTTGGCGAAGTTAAACTATCACCGTAGCGATGGCGCCACAGTGGGAGACATTTTCCAGTTTATAATAATTATTTGTCGGTTGGTGTGAGTGTCAAAACTTTTTCGGGTAAGTTGATAAATTCCAGTATTTGAAAATAAACACTAATTTCAAAAAAACGTCTGTGTCACGTTGAAGCTCTATAATCAGTCTTTGATATAATGCTAATAAGTTTTCTTCAAATTGACTACTTTTATAGATAACCTCTTCTGTTACGCAAAGCAAGCGTGTTTACAATATGGGCTATGCCCCTGTTTTCATTATGGGCCAGTGGCCCCTAATTTAGAACAATGTAAAACATACTTCAATTGTTTCAGGATGTCAAAACAACAGCCGAAAGAAGCTAAAACAAGAAAAAAATGGGACGAGAGAGATATGGAACGTGCAATTATAGCTGTCAGGTAGCACGAAATGGGTACACTGAAAGCTGCAAAAATGTTTAATGTCCCACGTTCTACTTTGCAACGTTCTGCAAAAAAACTTGATCTAAAGCCAATTGAAGCTGCTCAAATAAAGTTAGGGCGTAAAGCTGTCTTAGGGAATGATCTTGAGGGCGAGTTAGTGCGTTATATTTTGGAAATGGAAGCTAAATGGAATCATGGATTAACCAGAAAAGATCTTAGGAGGATGGCGTACGTCTTAGCCTACAGGAACAATATCAAACATCCGTTTTGAGGTAATACGGCAGGCAGAGCCTGGCTCAGGCTTTTCCTGCAACGCCATAAACAGCTATCAGTACGACGACCAACGGGAACATCATATTCACGAGCAAGAGGCTTTAACAAAGAAAATGTCGCATCCTTTTTCAATGTTCTGGAAACAGAATATGACAAACAATTTTACCCACCTGAATGTATCTTCAATGTGGACGAGACAGGTCTTACGGTTGTACAAAACAAGATTGCACAGGTAGTAGGCCGAAAAGGGAAACGACAAATTGCATCATTAACTTCTGCTGAAAGAGGCTCTCTGGTAACCGTCGTGACGTCGATGAGCGCTGCTGGCCAATTCATCCCACCAATGATGACATTCCCACGTAAAAATATTAACCAGCAACTGATGAAAGGAGCTCCTCCAGGTTCCATCATGGCAGTACATCCCAGTGGATGGATACAAAGCAATATTTTTACAAAATGGTTTCAACATTTCATTGACACAGTGAAACCCACAAAAAAATCACCAATCCTGCTTATTATGGATGGTCATTACAGACATACACGTAATATAGATGTCATAGATTTAGCTAGAGATAATCATGTCACTATAATTGTCTTGCCTCCCCATTGCACCCACAAACTCCAGCCATTGGACAAAACTTATATGGGTGTTCTTAAGGCTTACTACAGCGAAGAGATCCGGCTCTGGTTGCGCCACAATAATCGTCCACTAAGTGCATTTGATGTGTCAGAGCTCTTTGGGAGAGCTTATTTGAAATGACAAACTGGAGAGATTGCCGTTAATGGATTTAGATCTACAGGGATTTATCCCTTGAATAAAAACATATTTACAGATGAACTTTGGAAATAAGGCTATTATCGAGCACAAGTTAAATCTAGCCCAAGTACTTTCGCTTAAAATAGCATCTTCAGGGGCATTTCGTCAAAATGCCCCTGAAGATGCTATTTTAAGCGAAAGTACTTGGGCTAGATTTAATTAACTTGTGCTCGATAATAGCCTTATTTTCAAAGTTCATTTATTCAAGCATTCAACCTCATTTCATTTATATTTATAGATGTCGACTTCATGGCAGCTGAAATTGAAGCAAAAAATACTCTGACAGCCGCACCTGATGATGTGAGTGATGAGGATGATAAGGTGATCGTCGTTTCAACCGCTGCTGTCAATTCAAATAAACCTACAAATTCTGACGATGAAAATTTTGAGAGCACACCAGATTGTCGTTCCAACCACAATAATTTATTATAGTTTATTCGTCTTCCGGGTTTGGACCGTGTCATTTGTGAGTGACCAAAAGTGGGTTCATCTCGACGTTTCGCTACAATTGTATGTAGCTTCTTCAGGAGAACAAAAGGAAAAAAGAAAGAAAGAAGAAAACAAAGAACAGGAAGATGGGTAGTTAGCAACGGTAACTCAGTTACTCAACGCAACCAGAGGCGAATACTAACTACCAAGATGGGCATTTGGTCACAGTAACTCAACTACTCAACGCAGCCAGAGGTGAAAACCAAATGCCAGGACAGGGATTCACGTCCAACAGCTCAGAACACTAACGCGTCGAGAGGCGGGGAGTGAATCCGACGATTACTCCGCTACCGCTCTATTTATAGTCGCGGTGCCTGTCGTGTCGGGACGTATCGGCACACTTCGTGGCGCGAACGTCAAGAAGCGCGCGCTGGCCAATCATGTGGCTGCATCGTAGTGGCGGGACCGAACGGCGGTTCTAGACTGAGATTCCAGATGGGAGACAAGTAGTATCCTTCCTCTCGATTGATATTATGGGGATTTTTTCGGATCTCTAGAGATTCGCGGATTTTCCTGGAATAAAAGAAGGGGCTTTTAGAAATAATATGGGTTTTTTCGAACAATATGGAATGACCGGTTTCTTGGCAGTGTTCTGCAACTGCAGAATGGGAGAAAAGACCTGATCGAATGCATCTTTGATGCTCTTGAATCCGAGTTTTGACGGAACGACCAGTTTCGCCAATATACACATGTCCACATGAACAAGGAATAGAATAGACACCACAGGAAGATAGGGGCGGTAATGGGTCCTTAGGTGAGGGTAGATATTGTGAGATTCTCTTGGGTGGTCGAAAAGTAGTCCTGATACCTTCTTTGCGAAGAATTTTGCCAATCCTATCAGTGACATTTCGAATATACGGAAGAAAAGCCACAGGAGTATTACCCGAAGATTCTGAATTTGTCGTCCTAGGGTGTAAAGGGGGATGTAGATGTCGGTGTGTAATATTTTGAATTGTGGACTTGGAGTAACCGTTGGCGACAAGGGTTTTTTGCAGATGGCCAAGTTCTTCTCTAAGGTTGTCGGGTTCAGAAATCGAAATGGCCCGATGGATGAGAGAGTTGATCACAGAATTCTTTTGGGCAGGATGGTGGTGTGATGAAGCATGTAGATAACGATTCGTGTGAGTCTTTTTTCTATAAACAGAGTGACCCAATCGGCCATTGGGCTTGGAGGTGACTAACACATCGAGAAAGGGAAGGGACCGATTATTTTCTACTTCCATTGTGAATTTTATACTCGGATGTTGTGAGTTAAGATGATCTAGGAAGGGAGAAAGGGTATGTTGACCATGGGGCCAGATGATAAATGTATCATCAACGTAGCGGAACCAGACTTTTGGTTTTAAGGGGTAAGATTCTAGGGCTAAAGACTCAAAGGCTTCCATGAAAATGTCAGCAATGACAGGGGAAAGGGGAGAACCCATTGGTGTTCCAGATATTTGTTTGTAGAAATTGCCTCTAAAAGAAAAATATGTTGAAAGGAGGCATTTTTCCGCAAGATCTGCCAAAACCAAAGACTTGTTATCATTGGTCAAGTGATCTCGCAGAACGACTAGAGAGTCATGTATGGGGATATTGGTAAATAGGGATGATACATCGAAACTGACGAGAATGTCTTGGGGATCGACTGTGAGAGAGGAGATTAAGGTGATGAAATGTGTGGAATTTCGGACATAAGAAGAGGTGCGACCAGTATAGGTCTTAAACTGATTCGACAAGTACTTTGCGAGTTTGTAGGTAGGAGAGTTAATCGTAGTCACAATGGGACGAAGAGGTACGTTATCTTTATGGATTTTGGGAAGACCATAAATTCTGGGGCAGATGGAGTTTTTCGGAACTATGGACTTCTTAATATCATCGGAAAGATCGGATTGTTTGATGACATGGGCAATTTCGCGTTCGACTCTAGGAGTGGGGTCTAGAGAAATTGTATTATAACAGGATGTATCCCTAAGTAAGTCGTTTACTTTCTCTATGTAGGAAGGAGTATCCAGGATGACTGTGGCATTACCTTTGTCTGCAGGAAGGATTATTATCTCAGAAAGAGAACGGAGATTTTTGAGAGCTATGAATTCCTCACGAGATATATTGGAAGTAGGGATTTTGGCTGTATCAAGACATTTAGCGACGTCAAAGCGGATACGGTCGGCTGGAATTTTGGGAATTGTGCGGAGTGCCGCTTCCACATTTGAAACTATTTCTTCGGTAGGAATTCTGGAAGGAGTGATAGCAAAATTAAGACCTTTAGATAGAAGACTGCTTTCTGCACTTGTTAATTGGTGAGAAGAAAGATTAACGACGGTGTTAGTGAGAGGTGAATGAGAAGTAGAAGTGGTGGAATGTGATTTTTTCTTCTTAGATACAAGGGACTGGAATTTCTTTTTGTGAGTTTCTTTTATTCCAGGAAAATCCGCGAATCTCTAGAGATCCGAAAAAATCCCCATAATATCAATCGAGAGGAAGGATACTACTTGTCTCCCATCTGGAATCTCAGTCTAGAACCGCCGTTCGGTCCCGCCACTACGATGCAGCCACATGATTGGCCAGCGCGCGCTTCTTGACGTTCGCGCCACGAAGTGTGCCGATACGTCCCGACACGACAGGCACCGCGACTATAAATAGAGCGGTAGCGGAGTAATCGTCGGATTCACTCCCCGCCTCTCGACGCGTTAGTGTTCTGAGCTGTTGGACGTGAATCCCTGTCCTGGCATTTGGTTTTCACCTCTGGCTGCGTTGAGTAGTTGAGTTACTGTGACCAAATGCCCACCTTGGTAGTTAGTATTCGCCTCTGGTTGCGTTGAGTAACTGAGTTACCGTTGCTAACTACCCATCTTCCTGTTCTTTGTTTTCTTCTTTCTTTCTTTTTTCCTTTTGTTCTCCTGAAGAAGCTACATACAATTGTAGCGAAACGTCGAGATGAACCCACTTTTGGGTCACTCACAAATGACACGGTCCAAACCCGGAAGACGAATAAACTATAATTCTGACTCTGGCCGTGGAAGCCTACGATTTCATTTCACAATAATTTATCATCTAATTCTCCCACTCTTCCATCTGGGCCTAATAAATAGCTTAAAACTATTCCTACAAGTAACACACAGCTTAATGCTATTTCTGCAACTAGTTCACAGCTTGTCGCTATTCCCACAACAAGCTTTTACAGAAAGTCTGCCACGCCTTCTTGAAGACCTTGTGCAGAGCTTGGTGTAAAAAGAAAATTATTTGAGAATAAGCCCATTCCATCAATTCCTTCCACATCTGGGTCTTCAAGAACATCTCTGACAACACCATATGATTTTTCTCCTGTGCCATTATTGAAGAAAAAAACCTCCAATCGTGGGCGTAAGCCAAGTAAGTGTTCAGTGATAACCTCTTCACCTTACAAAAATGAACTGATCCAATCTCTCAACAAAGACAAAGGGAAGCAAAACGAAGTAGGAAAAGGCAAAAAAAAAGAAAAGGAAAAGAAATAAAAAAAGGAAAACGTAAGCAGGTTATCAAAGTCACAAAGAACCAAAAAAATAATTCGGGTTCTAGTAGCAAGGATGAAGAGGAATATGTGCCTGCAGATGATGAGAGCGATTACAATGAGTTTCCTTCTACACAGCCTACACAAGACGCAGGTGACGTAACGTGTATGTTTTGCGAAGCACTTTTTTCAGAGGATAATCTTGGTGAAATATGGGTCAAGTGCTTCATGTGCCATTTGTGAGCACATAACGAGTGCACTGGGGCCGAAAAAGAAGAATATGTGTGTGACTTTTGCAAATAGATTTTCTTCCAGTAAAAAAAGAAACACACACGTCATTGTCTATGAGTTATTTGATATATTGTTTGTATTTTAGATAATAAAATATATTTTTCACGCATTTATCTCATTTCACACAAATTTAAGACATATTTTTCGGGGTAGCCCATATTTAGGATCATTATTCAAACGACGCAAAAGTACAATTTTTCATTATTTGTACGTTTAAAACAGTTATATATTTTTTAATCAATTTGAACTTTAGGCAGGTTATAAGTAACTAAATATAGGTATTCTTACGTACCTTTGGAATTGAAATAGAATTTTTATTCTTTTTTTACAAAAAAATACAAAATGGGTAGCCCATATTTGCATCCTTTCCTCTACAATTAAATGAAAGATTATACCACTGTTTTGTTAGCTGACCAAGATTTTAACTTTTTTCACTGGAAATCCCAGGATAATAGCTTTGTTAAAGCTACAAGACAGTGGCATTTTAAACTTAGCGAATGTGAACGACTTTATCTGAAGGGATCAATCAAAAACCTGGAGACATTTTGGTGAAGGGTGATTCAAATTGCAACGTTTCAACTGGAGTGTTTCACCAAGATTAAAGAAGGGTTATCTCTAATAATTCTACCATACTTGAAGCCAATAATATACAAAGTGTCAGTGGGAAGAAGTTGGAGACACATGGCTCCAAAATCCAAGGTTGGAATACTTCAAAGCACCTTTAAAGAACATGGATTTCCCAAGCGTACCTAATTACAAAGACTCATTCTGTGGTCCACAAAATGAAGAAAATATAGCACTATCTGTGTAATTTCATTAAAATAAGATTAATTTTAACAAGAATGATTTTTGATTTAACTAGACTCATTTCAAATGACTTGGAAGCAGCGAAATGTGTAACAAAGTAACCAAAGTTACAGTATTTGTATCACAATCGGCAATGCTCATTTTTCTTTTCGAATTTTCTCATTAGATACTTTACAGACTATAAATAGTGTGCGTGAACTAAAATCCTCATTACATATTTACAACAAATTATAATAATTAGGCAAATCGTAACCGAAGTAATAAAACTACCACAGAATTTCGTTGTTCTTGTAAAATTGGTCAAGGTGGAGATTGGCGACTTTGATAATAGGCGACTCATTTAGTTGTTGAGCAAGGCGTTGCAGTTCTTCTATTGTTTCCGCCAGAGATGTTACATATAATTTTATATCTTTAATGTATATGATTTTATTTCACGAAATTTCTTTAAGATGATTATGATGATTATGCTTACTTTACTTTGCTTTATCGTGTCCGGACATGTCATTCATAAAATTTTGGCCCAGTATCGGGCTACGTCGGTTCCATCTTTGTTGGCGAGCCACAAATCTTCAAGGGTACATCGACGAGGACAGTTTCTGCATGTAAGAAGATGTTCCATATTTTTCCCCATTTTGCCATGTTTGATTTTACTGTAGCAACCCCCGTTCTTATCCTATTCAAGGTTTTCCACGTTTTAAAGTCTAGGGTCTGGCCGGTCCATTGAACCTGGGGAAGTTGAAAATACTCAGGCGGTTCATCCTGCACTGTTCCAAGGAAGCTTTTCCTAGATTTTAGTCGCTTTCGTGGTGTTCGAGCTTTGTATAGAGCATGCCGATCGTCCGCGATCTGTTTAATTTTTTCTATGTGTTCTGCAGCGTCTCTGCGTGTTGAGGATTTTGCAAAACCCGCTGCTCTATATAGATTTGAAAGTGGCGTTGGTTTCATGCACCCCGTTACTATCCTGCACGTCTCATTTAGCGCAGTATCAACTTGTTTGGTGTGGGCAGATCTGCCCCAAACGGGGCACGAATATTCAGCAGTTGAGAAACACAGTGCCTGTGCCGTTGTTCATAAAACGCTAGGACGTGAGCCCAATTTACTTTCCGTTAGCTTTCTGAGTATGCTGTTCCTAGTTGTTACTTTCCCTCTTGTTTTTTATGCAATGTTGTCTGTAGGTGAGGGACCGGTCCAGAGTTACTCCAAGATATATAGGTTGGTTTGTGTGTTCTAATGCATTACCATTCCACACAATTTGGAGTTTTCGCTTGGCTTTCTTTGTGCGAAGGTGGAAAGCGCAGACTTGGGTTTTAGAGGGATTGGGTCTCAGAGAATTCTGCAGGTAGTACGCTGTCATTGTTTTTAAGGCAGTTTCGAGTTTCTCCTCCACTTCTTCAAAACTATTTCCTTGAGCACATATTGCAAGATCGTCAGCATAGAGGAAGTGCTTGGTTTCGGTCGGAGTAGGTTGGTCGTTTGTGTATATATTGAAGAGCATTGGTGCTAAAACACTACCCTGTGGGAGGCCATTTTTTTTAACTCTCTACCTACTTACTTTACCCTCCAGCATAACGAAAAAACGTCTATTTTGCAGTAAGGAATATACGACCTTTCCCAGATGGTGGTCATTGGGAGTGTCGTATAATTTGTGGAGCAATGTTTTGTGCCTTACTGTGTCATAGGCTGCTATCAGATCTACAAAAGCAGCCCCTGTTATAAGTTTTTCTTTAAAGCCCTCTTCAATATGTTCTGTTAATGCGAGGACTTGATTGGTGCAAGATTTGCCAGGTCTGAATCCTCCTTGTTGTGGGATAAGGTGCTTGTCGACATTTTTTTTCTATTCTGGCGAGTATGAGTCTCTCGTATAGTTTAAAAAAGTGACACAATAGCGAAATAGGTCTGTAGCTACTGGGGTCTTCTGGATCCTTTCCTGGTTTTAACAAGGCTATTACTTTAGATTTCCTCCATGATTTTGGAATTTTGCAGGTTTTACAGCACGTGTTATAAAATTGCAAGATCCAGATGATTATGCTGTACTCTGTACAGCATAATCTCAAAATCAATGAATGATTCACATCTAGGCATTTCTGTGAAAGAACACTCACTGCAAAAATAACTACATTAGACACTGTCAATTAGAGAAAAATCTCTGCGAAGAAAAACAATGCTAGGAACTACCCGAAAATGGGAAAAACCCCAAAGCTAAACCTGGGTACTTGGAAACCTGTTGGTAAAGTACACAACATAATACGATGGAACGATGCGACCTAGACATCATAGAACTTAGCGAAATCAGATGGCCTAACAGTGGTAAATGTACCAAAGAAAAAGTCTCACTATATTACTCAGGAAATAACCTACCCCATCATTATAACGGAGTTGGATTTCTAGTTAACACAGCCTCAAACAAATCAATAAGGAACTTCGTGGGATACTCAGATAGAGCAGCACTACTACATGTTCAAGCCGATCCTGTTGACCTTAACATTATACAAATCTATGCATTAACCTTGGAAAAGCCTAAAAATGAAGTAAAATAATTTTACAGGGAGATAAAACAGTTAATGAAACTGATCAAGAAGAACTTGCAGTTTTTGGAGCCACACAACATCGAGAGGAGTATGCCAGAATTGTCGCCAACATCCACTAATTGGATAGGGCACCATATGAAGAGACTTAGAGACAACATAGAAACGACTAGAAAGATGCAGTTCAAAAACAAATCACAACAATTAAATTCTGAGATATCTTTAGCTGTGCTAAGTGGATATAATAGAAATACATGGACTGTGTTTCTGAAAAAAGGTGGAATAATTTTCCGTCTATTTAGGTTGCACATTTCGAGAAGCGCAAAGGCAGAAAACAATAATTAATCAATTGTTTTAGTTAATGGACGTCAGAGTAGATGGCACTCTCACAAGCTGCCACATCGGAGAAATATTATGCATATACAATGACGATTTGTTCGTTTAATTTCTTTCT